GCCCTGTCCTTCTGTCAACCCCGCCGAGATAATTACAAAACAGCAATTTAAGACTCACGGTCTTTTACCAGGAATTGTGTGGGGGGGGGTTGTATACTCATTTCTCACATTTTGAGAAATTACACATCTGTCAGTGCAGTTAGACTGTAATAATCCAGAGTTCAAAAGATTCATCAAACACTTCAGAAAACAATTGAACTTAGAAGGAGGGAGTTAATGGGTCAGGTTTTGCCTACAAAATGTCACCACAAGGACAGTAAAACATTCTTTAAGTGATTTCAAGTATTTATGAGAAAAACAGTTTAAATAATGCACTTTAATTTCTTTTTTTTTTGTTGCACTAGACAATATCACAATCATCCTATATGACACCTATTGATGTCGATGTAGTAGCATTGCACAAAAACAAACATTTTCAGTTACAAGTAACAATGTATTGTTATATATGATATAGTTATATGGACTATTTTTGTTTTGATAGCAAATAGTTCCACCGGAAGCTAAAACGGGAGAAACTGGAGAATGACAGACGTTAAAATAAATTAATGCTTTTATTTAGCAAGGATGCATTAAATTAATTAAAGTGACAGTAAGTATATTTATAATGTTACAAAGATTTTGTATCTTTCTGTTTGTATTTCAAATAAATTCTGTTCTTTTGAATGTTTTTATTCATCAAAGAATCCTGAAAAAATAAAATCACAATATTAAGTACCACTATTTTCAACATTGATGATAATAATAAGAAAAGTTTCTGTAATAACTGTAATATTTCGCAATATTACTGTTTTACTGTATTTTTGATCAAATTAGTGCACCCCTTATTTCAAAAACTTCCAATCCCAAATATTTGAACAGTACTGTATATAGTTCCAATTTAATTGAAATACCAAATCAAGAAATCATTTGTTAAAAATTTACAGAGACGCAAAAATGCATGCATGTATACATGTTTGTTATAGACATTAAAACTTTAGCTTTTCTTTAAAGAACAAATTGATAATCTGAGAAATCCTGCATCCCCAAAGCTCAGAAGACTAATCAATATATGACATGACAATGTTTTCCATTCGAAAAGGATGTCTAAAGTCTGACTAGAGTTTTATATATTCCCCCCTAAACCCTCACTCATCTGTCTCATTCGGCATCTGTCTCATATGCAGTTATCGGAGGAAATCTTTGTAGCATGTGTCCCGCTCGATATCTCTTTTTATTTGGAACTCACACCATTTTCTTTATTGCCCGACCATTTAGTCTATCTGTCCCTGATTAAAGAATATAGCAGCCGTAACATCTGTCATGATATGTTCATAGGCTTATTTACAAGACACATGTCCACAAACTAAAGTGCAGCTATTAGCTGCTAGCATGTCGCCAAAGATTTTCTCTACACTTGAGACCACAGGCTTGTTGGTGGCCCAGGACACTATAAATCGTTTTTAGGTTGTATATAATTTATTGTTGGTTATTGTTTCAAGTTATTGTCTTGTGCTGCTTTATAGCTTTTAGTTATTTGCATTTCTCATTTAGTTTTAATCAATTGCAGGGCTTTCTATTTATTTTTTTTCTCTCTCTGTTACAGCTCACAGCTGCCGTATTAAAAACCTCACTCTGAGCTCAGTACAATAAATGAGCATTTTTATTTTCCATCTGTTAAAATGTACTTGGAACTTTATTGATTTGCATGCGCTATTTTTACTCGTGAGGTGGAACAGAGCTCTTAAACTGAGTTTAAAGCTGTTTGCTGCTATTTATTTTACCTCAGGGTTTGTTCTACAAGGAAGTCCAGGTGTTTGTGGGTTGTGGGTGACCTCTTGCATACGGACTCATTTGTAGAGTGCTTTCACTATTCCAGCCTATATGAATGCAGTGTAGAATGCAATATGAGCTCTGTTAAATGGATAGTTCTCCAAAAAATTACAATTTGTGAATTTATTCACCCTCAGACCACCCAAGATTCTAATACTGTGGTCCTTGGTGATTCATAAAATGCAAGTCAGTAGCTACCGAAATTTAACTGTATAAAAAAGGACATACAGGTAAGACAAAATTAATACCCGTGGCTCCTGATGATACATTGAGGTCTTATGAAGCACAATGATCGGTCTAGAAACTGAACATTATTTACAACATCATTACCTGTAATCCTGAGCCTCAGGCTAACGGTCCGGAGTGATGTCCAGTTCACAAACAAATTATTATTTTGAACTGGTTCTTTTTAGTGAACGTTCTGCTATGGCAACATAGGAAACTCAGTTCTGTCATGACAACTCTCTGAGGGATTGGCATGGTAATGTACATTACAATGTTAATGTATTTGAGCTTTAGCGGAATAGATCTGCTACGCTGCTGCTGCAGCAGAGCAAGTACCGAGACTTGCTACTGCCAATACATCCACAACATGCTGCTGTGAGCATGTAAGAAATATTGCTGCTGCAAATATAACATACATGAAATAACCCCCATATATGTACATGATTCACCTTGTAGCAGATCTATACAGGTGGAGCTGGGGAAGGTGGAGGGTTTCTGAAGCAAGATGCAACTGCTAAGGCAAGCACTAGTCATATATTTGAATGTTGAGCAGCGAGCTCATTGGCTACCGATACAGGAGAGAACCAATCAGATGTGCCATGTGATAATGATGTCATTAGGTCAGATTGAGTTAGACCTATCGGACTGTGCCATCTAGAGTTTCATGCCAGAACTCTGTATGTAAAATTCTCTATGTAGGCGGCAACTATTCCTCGCATTCAAGGGATAGTTTATGCAAAAATTAAAAATCATTTACTCACCCTCATGTTGTTCCTAACATAAATGACTTTTTTCTTCATTGGAACACAAAATAATATTTTTTTCTGAAGAGTGCTGGCAACTAAACAGTTTTGTCATTTTGGAATGACATGATGGTAAGTAAACAATGACAGAATTTTCACTTTTGGAGTGAACTATCCCTTTAAGTTTCCTCCAATGTCAGTCTGATGTTGTTGACCTGCAGAGACCTCACACTGTCTCTCTCTCTCTTCCTGCGGCCCGACATTTTTGGCCCCGTCATTTTTCACACACTCTGGCCTTAGCTGTCCTGAGGCGAGCAAGTCCTGCTAATAAAATAAGAAAAATATGCCAGTTGCTGATTCCAGGTTTTGTTCTCCACACAGTGCCATTCCAGCCTCCTCTTGCTACAAAGATTGAGTTTTCAGCAACAACCTCTTAAGAATCTGTCTGTCATTCTTTGTCTACCTATCTGTCTGTCTGTTTTTCTGTCTGTATGTCATTGTTTGTGTGTATTGTTCTGTCTGTTTTTCTATCGGTCTGTCTGTCTGTCTGTCATTGTGTAGCTATCTGTCTTTCTAATGTTGTCTCTGGCTATCTGTCATTTTGTCAAGTTGTCTGTCATTCTATCTGTCTGTATGTCTGTCATTCTGTATGTCATTCTTTTCTATCTGTCTGTTGTTCTGTTTGCTCTCTACTTGTATGTCATTCCCACTGTCTGTCTGTCATTTGTTTTTTTGTCCATCTGTCTGTCTGTCTCTGTAATTGTCTTTCATTGTATCTGTATGTATGTACACTATCTTTTTATCTTTCTTTTTTGTATGTCTGTCCTTTGTTTTGTCTATCTGTCTGCCTGTCTTTGCGTCTGTCTGCTGTCTGTATTTTTGCCATAAAAAGTTCTGAACATAGCCACAAAAAATAGTCACAGAAGCTGGCATGGCATTAAAACAAACAAACAAACACCCTATTCTGTTTGTTGTTAGTCAGTCTTTCTCTCTGTTGTTTTGACTCTGTCTGTCCTCAGTGACCAATCTCTACATTGAGGCTGAAACATGTCTAAGAAAACTATTCTAGACAGTTGTATTGCAGACTTGTGTTATTCGATCTCAGCGCCCACTTCCTGCATCGAGCTTCTGGAATTCTCTTTCACGCAAGAAACAGCACAAGAGTGTTCAAAGAGCCTGGAGAGATTTATGTGAGAGAGAGTGTGGCTAAGGGCCAGTGGAAGTGCGTGAATCCTTTTCACTCCTGCCTCATGGGAATGTTGATTAGATTGGCTAACCAGCACTGGCCTTCTTGATACACAACCAGCACACACACACACACACACACACACACACACACACCCACACACACACACACACACACACACACACACACACACACACACACACACACACACACACACACACACACACACACGCGCGCGTGCTCAGACTCAACAATAGACCTCACCCCTTGGGTCCTCTCTGTCAAAGCATGTTTCCTGATTCAACCCTATGGGGCTTCTTAAAAGCACAAACCTCTATTTGATACACCTCCATCCAAGAGAAGCAAAGGAAGTGCTCTGTCTGTTATGGATTTTCCCTGATCTGTGCTTTTTTTAGGGTCAAGATTGTTAAAATGATTTTCAAACCATTTTATTTTTGTATATAGTCAGCACAGAGCAAGCTATCATACTCTTTCACTAATGCACACACACACACACAGACACACACATTAAAGGTCAGTACTGTAGCTTCTTTCTTTCAGGCTTTATTGCATACTGGAGTCTTTTGTCTGTGTTCAACAATTCAGTCAGTTCAGGTGCATCTCAACACGGGCAGCTTTTGAAGCGTTTTGATGCACAATGGGTTCTCTTATGTGAGGGGGTGTTTGTGTGTGATTGCAATCATTTTGCTTTTTATGACATCAGCACAGCGCACTAACATCATGTGTTCCTTTTAGACTATCTACCAGCTTTATCCTGTGTCAAAAATGTACAAACCCTTCTCTATCTATCTATCTATTCATCCATCCATCCATCCATGCAACCAACCAACCAACATATATTAGTAATTCTTCTTATATTCATTCTCTCTTTCTCAGGTGGGGATGAAGGACAATCCTGCAGTAGATCCGATTATTCATGGGCTAAGAGGAGTTGTTCATCACGGTGAGTAGATTTTTTAATATATTCATTTACATTTACATTTAGTCATTTAGCAGACACTTTTATCCAAAGCGACTTACAAATGAGGACAATGGAAGCAATCAAAATCAACAAAAGAGCAATGATATACAAGTGCTATAACAAGTCTCAGCTAGCTTAACGTAGTACATGTAGCAAGTTTTTTTTAAATTATATAATAAATAAAAAGAAAACAGATAGAATAGAAAAAGAATAGAGCAAGCTAGTGTTAGAGGCCTTTTTTGCTTTTGTTAATTGTATAATAAATAAAAAGAAAAGAAATAGATAGAATACAAAAAGATTAGAAAAGCTA